CCCTGAAATCTGCCATCAGCTGTGATCCCAAATAATCACTCTATCACCACCAATCCTGATAGAAGAAATGTTCAAAAGGAAGCACGTGGACAAGCTTGGGACAGCAAGAGTTGGGCTCTGGGGGCGCAGGCTAGGCCTTCACTACAGCCACATCTGGGTTCCTTGACCTCAACGCTGAGTTGGGGCTGCCCCGTGTGCTGCAGGGTGTTCAAAAGTATCCCCGGCTCTATAAGATCCCCACAAAATGCCAGTAACACTCTCCAGTTATTTAACCAAAAATGTCTCCAAACACTGCCCATGTCCCCCCAGGGGCAATACTGCCCCAACTGAGGAGCACCGAACTACACCTACGACCCGTGCCGACAGGCACAATAATTCCCCTCTCTTCTCAGCAGAGCCAGTTTTGTGCGCACACCAGCTGTTACCAGGAGACATCAGACAAATCACTTAAAATTTCTCAGCTTGGGATCCTTCACCCATGACAAGATGGTACAACCTTCGAAACTCACAGTTCGAGGGAAGGAGGTAAATGAACGTGAAAGCATTTTGCAAATGTCAGTGTACTATACGATCAAGGCACTACTAGCTTTCTTTACTACTAGCTTTCATTACCCACAACGCCTTGAAATAACCTAGTAAAACCAGAAGAGCCCAATTAACAAGACTAAGCAGTTTCTAAGCAAAATGGAATCTTGAACATTCTACGCCAAAACCCTTGAGGAAAGAGCACCAGAGAGGCCTGTTCTCCCAAAGCGCTGTCACTGCCAGATGTTGAAACAATGCCTCGCAAAACCTTCCAAATCATGACTTGTGAGGCATTCAGCCCCCAAGAAAAATAAAACAGGCTTCTCACAACAAAGACAATTTTACTATAATTTCATTTTTTAAAATGGCCTCAAATAATGTTATGAATGACCTCATCACATAATTTTCTCATAGGGGAAATAAAATTTTTAATAAATTCATAAGTCAAAATTCAGAAAGTACTAAAGTATATACAATAAATGTCTCTCACCCTTAACACACACACTAGCACACAGCTAACCACCCTGCCCTATCCCAACAAGGTATGACGACATCTGTGTAACCTCAGAGAGGTATTTTATGCATAGTCAAGCAAATACCTATAAAATTCCATATACACTTTTGTACACCTTACTTTTCACCTAAAGCAACAATTCTCAATCTGTGGGTCATGACCCATAGAAACTATATTAAAGGGCCGAGGCATTAGGAAGGTTGAGAACTACTGACGTAAGGTTTCTAGGGAGCATTCCACATCCCTCCATAAAAGACGCCTACATTTTTTAAGCTGTAACTAGCCCATGGTCTATTGATATCAGGTTGTTTCCATAGAAACATGCTATCATGAGCCAGGTGTCCTTGAAAACCCTCAGCTGGCACCCACGTGGGTCAGAGTTCCTCTGAATTTTAACAGATAACTGACAAATTCTTCTCCTAAGAGACTGTGGGGACACGCTGCCTCTGGCCTCTAGCCACGTCTGAGGGTGCTCATCTCTTCTGTCCTACACCAACCTGTGTGGTCAAGCTTCCCCTCCCCTGCCTGCAATCCATATGTTTAAGTCCTAACCCTTAATACCTCAGCAGCCAGTGTTATTTAGAGAAAGGGTCTTTAAAGAGGTGATTAAATTAGAGCAAGGCCACTGGGGCAGGCCTAATCCACTGTGGCTGGAATCCTTAGGAGAAGAGATTAGCTCAGTGTGAACCCAGAAGGAGAAGATGGCACAGGAAGGAACCAGCCCTGCGACACCTTGAACTACTGAAGCCACCCAGTCTGCAGAGCTTCGTTATGGCAGCCCCAGCCAAGGAAGGTGGCAGGGTGCATG